TCAGGCGGCTTTGAATGATGGTGGTTCTGTAGTTTAGTTGTAACTTTGATGTGGTTGTGGGAGGAGGCAATACCGCATTTACCTACACTGCCATCTTGACTGGAAGTCCTGCGGTAGATTTCTTGATGTTAATTTTGTATCCTGCTACTTTGCCAAATTTACTTATTAAATCTAGTAGAATTTTGAGAGTCTTTAGAGTTTTCTGTGTACAATATTATGTCATCTGCAAATAATGACAGTTTGACTTCCACCTTTCCAGTTTGGATCCCTTTTATTTTTTCTTCATGTCTAATTGCTGTGGCTAAGACTTCCATTACTGTGGTAAATAAGAGTGGCAAAAGTGGCATCCCTGTCTTGTTCCTGTTCTTAAGGGAAATGCTTTTAGTTTTTTCCCATTGAGTATGATATTGGCTGTAGGTTTTTCATGTGTGGACTTTATTATGTTGAGATAAGATCCCTCTATTCCAACATTGTTGAGCGTTTTTATCAGAAATGGGTGCTGGATTTTATTGAATCCTTTTTCAGCCTTGCATTCCAGGTCATGGTGAATAATTTTTTTAATGTATTGCTGGATTCTATTTGCTAATATTTTGTTAAGGATTTGGGCATCTATATTCATCAAAGATATTGGCCTGTAGTTTTCTTTCTTTGTAGTGTCATTATCTGGTTTTGGAATTAGAATTATCCTGGTCTCATAAAACGAATTTGGAAGTCTTCCTTCTTTTTGAAATTTTTGGAATAGTTTGAGGAGAATGGGTGTTAGTTCTTCTTTGAGTGTTTGGTAAAAACTCCCCCATGAAGCTGAGCTTTTGTTTGCTGGGAGATTCTTGATTACATGTTCAATTTCCTTAGTTATTATTGGTCTGTTCAAGTTTTCTATCTCTTCCTGGTTCAGTCTTGGGAGACTAGGTTTCTAGATTGTCCAATCTGTTGGCGTGTAATTGTTCATAGTATGTTTTAATTATCTTTTGTATTTCTGTGGTGTCAGGTGTTACTTCTCTTTCATTTCTGATTTTGTTTATTTGGGTCCTTTCTCTTTGTTTCTTGGTGAGTCTAGGTAAGGGTCCATCAATCTTGTTTATCTTTTCAAAGAACCAGCTCTTTGTTTCATTGATCTTTTAAATTGTTTATATAGTCTCTATGTTGTTTATTTCTGATCTTTACTATATCTTTCCTTTTATTTGCTTTTGGTTTTTCTTTTTGTTTGCTTTCTAGTGCTTTAAGTTGTGAGGTTAGATAATCAGTTAGAAATTTTTCTTGTTTCTTGTGGTAGGCCTGTAGAGTGCTATGAACTTCCTTCTCAGGACTGTTTCCGGTGCATCCCATAGATTTTGTGTTGTTATGTGTTCATTTTCACTGGTTTCCAGGAAGTTTTTAATTTCCTACTTGATCTTCTTGGTAACCTATTCATTGTTTAATAACATGCTATTTAGTCTCCTTGTGTTTAAATGTTTTTGTTGTAATTGATTTCTAGTTTCATGCCAGTGATCTGAGAAGATGGCTTGATATGATTTCAATCTTCTTGAACTTGTAGAGATTTAGTTTGTGTCCTAACATGTGGTCTGTCTTTGAGAATGTCCCATGTGTACTTGAGAAGAATGTGAATTCTGCAGTTTTGGGGTGTAATTCTCTGTAGATATCTATTAAATCCATTTCATCTAGTACATCATTTAGAGTATCTGTTTCCTCGTTAATTTTTTTGTCTAGAGGATCTATCAAGTGATGTCAGTAGGGTGTTGAAGTCCCCTGCTATGATTGTATTGCTGTTGATTTCTTCTTTGAAATCCTATAGAAGTTTAAAAATATATTTTGGTGCTCCTCTGTTGGGTGCATATATATTTACCAAGGTTGTATCTTCCTATTGGATAGATCCTTTCAATATTATGTAGTGGCCTTTTTTTTCCCTCCATTTTTTGTTCAGGTAGAGTGGGAGGGAGAGAGAGGAACAGAGAGAGAGAGAGAGAGAGAGAGAGAAACATCAACGTGAAAGGGACATATCGAGTGCCTGCCACCCACACGACCAACCAGGGCCAGGGACAAACTGCAACCGAGGTACGCGCCCCTAGTGGGAACCGAACCTGGGTCTCTCGGGACCGCAGGCCAATGTTCTAACCGCTGAGCCAAACCAGTCAGGGCTGTAGTGGCCTTCTTTGTCTCTAGTTATGGCCTTCATTTTGAAGTCTATTTTATTGGAATGAGTATTGCTACCTCAGCTGTTTTTTCCTTTCCTTTTGCTTGGAAGATTTTTTTTTTATCTTTCACTTTCAGCCTATGTGTGTCTTTTGTTGTGAGGTGGTTCTCTTATAAACAACATATACATGATTCATGGCTTTTTATCCAATCAGCTACTCTTTTTTTTTAATCCTTACCTGAAGATACTTTTTTTTTCTATTTTTATCTTCAGATAGAGTGCGAAGGAGGGTGGGGGGTGGGGAGAGAGAAACATTAATGCAAGAGAACTCGTCAGTTGGCTGCCTCCTGCAGAACCCTTACCAGGGCCGTGGAGTGAACTGCACCCAAGGTATATGCCCTTGACCGGAATCGAACCCAGAACTCTTTGGTCCGTGGGTCGACACTCTACCACTGAGCCAAACCTGCCAGGGATACTCTGTGTCTTTTGATCAGAGCATTTAATTCATTTACATTTAAGGTTATTATTGATATGTACATATTTATTGCCATTTTTGTTTATTGTGGTTATATATTTTTTCTCTCTGTCATCTACTAATTACAGCAGTCCTTTTAACATTTCTTGCCCTGCTGTTTTGGTGCTAATATATTCCCTTAGCCTTTTTTTGGTCTGTGAAGCTCTTTATTTCACCTTCAGTTTTGAATGATAGTCTTGCTGGATATAGTAGTCTTGGATTCAGATCCTGTTTTTTATTACCTTGATTACTTCTTGCCATTCCCTTCTGGCCTGTAGTGTTTCTGTTGAGAAGTAAACTGATAGCCTAATAGGGGCTCTTTTGTAGGTAACCTGTTGCTTATCTCTTTCTGCCTTTAGGATTTTCTCTGTCTTTAATTTTTGGCATTTTAATTATTGCGTGTCTTGGTGTGAGGTTGTCAGGATTCTTCTTACTTGGGGCTCTCTGTGCTTCTTGTACTTGTATGCCTTTTTCCTTCACCAAGTTAGGGAAGTTTTCTGTCACTGTTTTTTCAAATATGTTCTCTAACCCTTGCTTATTTTCTTCTTCTGGAACTCCCGTGATGTGGATATTGTTACATTTCATATTGTTCCACAGTTCTCTTAAGGTATCTTCCTGTTTTTGCTTTAAATGTTTTTAAAGATTTTGACAAATTAAAAAATATAATTTATCGCCCTGGCCGGTTTGGCTCAGCGGTTGGAGTGTCGGCCTGTGGTACAGAGAGACCCGAGTTTGGTTCCCGCTAAGGGCATATACCTCGGTTGCAGTTTGTCCCCGGCCCTGGTTGGTTGTGCGGGTGGCAGCCACTCGATGTGTCCCTTCACATCGATGTTTCTCTCTCTCTCTCTTCCTCTCTCTCCCTCCCGCTCTATCTGAACAAAAAATGGAAAAATGTCCCCTCGGGTGAGGATAAAAAAAATATATATATATATATATATATAATTTGTCATATTAAAGTAGGGTTTAACAGTGAAAAAGATGTGGTCTGTCCTTCAGGAGCTTTGAGTGTAGTGGAAGAGAGGTGAGTCCTCATGGAAAGTGATGGTGACAGAGCCAGGGGTGAGAAGTGGGTAGGCAGTCAGGCCCTGGGTCTGGTGGGTGTGGCAGGGGAAAAGGGAGGAGTGGAGAAAGGGCCTAGTTCTTGGCTTGCGCACTCTTGTGTTGTGAGTTAGGGACCACAGGAGGAGCAAGAGGTCATTGTTGGTCACACATCTGCAAGACTGGGGATGTACAGAGGGGGATGTCCAGGAAGTACCTGGCTTTGTGGCCTGGAATCAGAGAGACCCCTGAGTGAGAGACACAGGTTCACATGAAGGAAGGCCCTGTAGCATTGGCATGGGGTGAGGACGGCGTGCAGGGGGCGGGAAATGGGAGTCCCAGCGCACTTAAGGACACATGGGTATCCAGTGGAGCAAGGGAGGCAGAGCGCCAAGATGGGGCAGGTGAGAAGGGCAAGGTGCAGAACTTCTCCCTTTGTGTAACTCTGGAATTGCCGCCTCTGAGAAGTGGAAGTGAGCGGCTGAGGAGCAAGGAGAGTACCTCGTCAATCCTGTACCACGTGTGGTTATTACCTATTACAAACGTAATTTTTTAAGAACAGACATGGAAAGGGAAGCCAGAAAGATCAGAGAAAAATTAGTGGTTGACAGTGTCACATGGTGAATAGGGGTCAAATGACTTACAAACAAAAGTTACTTTGGATTTAACAACCAAGAGGTTGTCTTTAGCTGTCCTTGGACATGTATGTAGAGCAATGAGGGCAGAAGTCAGGTTGTCGTAGGATATATTGCAGGCAAATGTCACTGCTGGTTGTGTGTGTGGGAGAGGGAGATTTGGGAGGGGGCATAATTTGAAGTTTAACCATTTTTCTTTTTATACAAACATTCTAAATTTAACTTAAATATTTAGTATTGTGAATGAATAGAAGTGGAATTTTAGAGTTAATCTAACCTCCTCATTTTATAAATGAGAGGAAACAAGATCCAGAGAGAGAAAGGGTGCCCCTCAATGGATTAGTGTAAGACCTGCCCAGGACTTGCTCTCGCTGGCTCCCCTACTTAGTAGCTGTATGACCCTGGGCAAGTTACCTACCTCCTCTGTGCCTCAGTTTCCTCATCTGTGGGCAATAGTTGTATATTGTAGATTTGTTTGTGTGAATTACATGACTGTATGTGAAGCTTTCAGAACAACGCCAGGGATAGTATGTGTTCAGTAAAAGTTAACTCTTAATTCACTGTTTTAGCCACCATCCCTTCCAATCAACTGTAGCCACAATGTCCTTCTAGAATTAGTTTGTCTTAAAAAAGCCTTGGCTCTTTAATTCACCACTTTTTGTTATACCCTTCCTTTTCCCAGACCAGCTGACAGGTTTGATCGAGAAAGACCGCTGAGAGGACGTGGAGGCCCAAGAGGGGGCCTGCGGAGCAGAGGCCGCGGTGGTCTCGGGAACAGAGCTCCTGACCGTTTTGACCAGAGAGGGAAACGGGAATTTGAGAGAGATGGTGGGAATGACAAAATGTAAGTTTCTTTGTAAACGCTATTTTCACTGTACGGTCTTAGTCATACGTAGCATGAATTTGTTACGTGTTGAAATTTAGTTGACTCTGTATTAGTACGCTGCTGTTCTGGAGTTGCTGGTCTGGCATAGCTTTTATGATCAGCGTCTCTGAGTTGGAGATTGACTAGAGACCAACTTTCAGTTTAAGAGAATATTCTTTCTTTCTCTAGAGCAATCAGAACTGAAGACAGCGTGGGTGGACGCGGAGCTCGCCCCTGGGGATCCGGCAAAGACCCCAGGTGCGCTGCACTGTGCGATTCTGTGCACCTGCGGTGAAGTGGGCCTCTCGATCCTTGTTGGCCTTTCATGAAAACCATGTCTTCTGCTGGGCTGTGGTGTCTTTATACTTGTGTCCCCTTAAGCAGAGGGGGATTTTAGGCTTTTATTTACTGGGATAACTTTTAAAATGGGTTTGCTATGTTGCTATAAGATTTGAAACTGTTTTTAAAATTCTTTCACCAAGCCCTGGCTGGTTTGGCTCAGCAGTTAGAGCATCGGCCTGCGGACCAGAGAGACCTGGGTTTGGTTCCCGCTAAGGGCACGTACCTCGGTTGCAGTTTGTCCCCGACCCTGGTTGGGTCGTGCGGGTGGCAATGACTCAATGTGTCCCTTTCACGTCGATGTTTCTCTTTCTCTCTCTCCCTCCCACTCTATCTGAACAAAATATTGAAAAATGTCCTCAGGTGAGAATTAAAAAAAAAAAAATTATTTCACCAAAACCTATAAAGAACTTGTAAAACTCAACACCAAGAAAACAAACAATCCAATTAAAAAATGGGCAGAGGACCTGAATAGACATTTCTCCAAAGACGACAAACAAAAGTGCAAGCGACATATGAAGAATGCTCAACACCACTAATCATCAGAAATGCAAATTAAAACCACAATGAGGTCACCTCACACCTGTCAGAATGGCCACCATCAACAAATCATCGCGAGGGTGTGGAGAAAAGAGCCCTCGTGCACTGCCGGTGGGAATGCGGACTGCTGCCGCCACTGTGGAAAGCAGTATGGAGTTACCTCAAAAAATTAAAAATGGACCTGCCTTATGACCCAGCAATTTCACTTCTGGGAATTTATCCAAAGAAACCCAAAACACTAGTTGGAACGAATATATGCACCCCTGTGTTCATTGCAGTATTATTTACAATAGTCAAGATTTGGAAGCAGTCCAAGTGTCTATCAGTAGATGAGTTGATAAAAAGCTGTGGTACATGTACACAACAGAATACTACTCGGCCATAAAAAAAAAAAAAAAAGGAATTCTTACCCTTTGTATCAGCATGGATGGACCTGGAGAGCATTATGCTGAGTGAAATAAGCCAGTCAGAGAAGACAGATACGATATACTCACTTATATGTGGAATCTAATGAACAAAATAAACCAACAAACAAAATAGAAACAGACTCATTGATACAGAGAAGAGAGTGACAGCTGTCAGAGGGCAGGGGTATTCGGGGCTGGATGAAAAAGGTAAAGGGATTAAGCAAAAAAAACCTTCATAGACACAGAAAACAGTATGGTGATTACCAGAGGGGAAGGGGGTGGGGAAGATAGAAGAGGGTAAAGGGGGAACATAAATGGTGATGGAAGGAGACTAGACTTGGGGTGGTGAACACAATACAATATACAATACAATCATTTTGTCTTATTTTAGCCAAACAAATTTGCATGTTTGCTCATTCCCCAAGTACATGACACTATATTTGCATACACTTCAGAATGCTTTTTTAAGTTCCTGGATATTCTGTATTTTATTTTTCTGTGACTTTCCAAAGTTCTTGTATACATTGCATCTTTTTTTTTTTCCCCTCACCCGATGACATTTTTCCATATTTTGTTCAGATAGAGTGGGAGAGAAAGAGAGAAACATCGATGTGAAAGGGACACATCGAGTAGCTGCCACCCACATGACCCAACCAGGGCCGGGGACAAACTGCCCTTAGCAGGAACCGAACCCAGGTCTCTCCTGACCGTAGCCCAATGCTCTAACTGCTGAGCCAAACTGGCCAGGGCTATACATTAAATCTTGATTTCCCAAAATCATTTGCAGATCAAAGTTCAGTGACAAGTTTCACTTGAGGTACAAATTTGACATTTCTCTGAGGCTTCATGGTGTCCCAGATCTGTGCTAGTTTTGCTCCTTAAAGGAAGTGCTTGGTTGTGCTGTTTCTGTCATTTCATGGCTGCAGGGACTATGCCTTTCTGGTGTCTGCAAAGGGATAGGCAGGAAGTACTTCGAGGCGGTGTAGGGCGAGGAGTGGGTCACCTGGGACATGTTGCAGGGCAGGCTTTTCACAAGTTTGAACTCGAGAGGATTCAGACTTCTATTTTCTTCTTTTGAATATAATCTTTTTACATAAACTTATTTTAAGTTGTTATCCTTAAAGGCAAACGTACACAGTATAAGCAAATGTAACATTAGATTTACTGCCGTTGCACATCCATGTTGTCCCTGAAAGGAAGAAAAACGTGTTGAATGTTCTCAATCTTGATTCCATAGGATCTTGATTACAAATCTTTTTTTTAATTTTATTTTTTTTATTCTCATCCGAGGACATTTTTCCATTTTTTGTTCAGATAGAGATAGAGTGGGAGGGAGAGAGAGAGAGAGAAACATTGACGTGAAGGGACACATCGAGTGGCTGGCTGCCACCCGCATGACCCAACCAGGGCCGGGGACAAACTGCAACCGAGGTACGCGCCCTTAGCGGGAACTGAACCTGGGTCTGTCTGGACTGCAGGCCGATGCTCTAACCACTGAGCCAAACCAGGCAGGACTTGATTACAAATCTTTTTATTTTATTTTATTTTGCTGTGATAATATATATGCATTTTTTTTGTGGTAATATATATTTTTTAAAGTAATACAGGTACCTCTTGAATAATCTGATTTACAACTTTGGTACTACCACTTCATTTCAGTTTGCATTTAAACTTAAAATTATTTTTGGCTCCCATGATTCCTTACCTTAAGGGGTCAGCATTGGCAGACTGGCATGTCCGATGTGAAGATGAAAGGTGCCCTGTGACACTCATCTTGGTTTGTGAGTTATAAAGTCAAAGCTCTTAGGTGGTAATATTCTGTAATCGAAAGATTTCGCATAGAGGCAGGCTCTGTTAACTTTGATTTGCATCATGCAAACCGTGCAGTGCGGTAGCATTATGTGCTACTTTGCTGACTGAGAAAAAAGCAGAGGTGAGCCTGACACAGGAAGTGACGTGTCCATGGCTGGCGAGGCCAGATGTCACATGGTTCGGTGTCGTTGTGAGGGTTTTGCTGCAGTTGAGTATTCCTGTGTGAAGACACTGGCAGTAGGACTATGTCTGGACACGCTGCTTTCACAGTGGTGTGACTGAGCCATTTCCAGTGTTAATCTGTTTTCAGAACAGTCGATAGTGAGTACTGTGCAGAACATAAAATTTGCTCTATCAGCAGTATTTACAGAGTATAATATCACATATTTCCTTGTTACCAGTTGAAATAGATGCCCATGAATGCAATTTTCAATAATACGGCTTCCAACTTCTGTTGTGAAGAGGACAGTTTATGTAGCAACCAAGGAACATCTGCCGAAAATCTGTTCACTGTCATAGATTTAAGTGTGAATTCTGATTGAATTTGAACTAGAAAACTAATCCTTTAGGTGTTCAGCATCATTTTGTGGAACACGTGTGTGCAAACAGGCCTTTTCTGTGTTAGAACAACTGAAGTCAAAATACAGACTCGGCCTGGAGATGTGTGAGAAAGCTTATTCATCTTTCTTCTGACTAGTCCAACATTGGTGATTCACTTGAAAGAAAATAACAAGATCTGCCAAAATAAACTGTACCTGATATTGAAACTTTATTTTTTTGTAGTTGTGGTCAAATGGTTCTGTAATAGCTATAAATACAATATTACTTTATTTATAAAGTAATATAGGTCAATATGGGGGCCAGGGGATCTGTGATTTTTTTTTAAATCAATTGCTCAAGTTTTATTTATTTATTTATTTATTGAAAAATTACTATTATTATTTTTTTAATCCTCACCTGAGGACATTTTTGCATTTATCTTCAGATAGAACGGGAGGGAGAGAGGGGGGGAAGAGGAGAGAGAAACATCAATGTGAGCAAGACACATCGAGTGGCTGCCACCTACACGACCCCAACTGGGGCCGGGGACAAACTGCAACCAAAGTACATGCCCTATGGGAACCGAACCCGGGCCTCTCTGTTCGTGGGCCAATGCTCTGACTGCTGAGCCAAACTGGCTGGTGTAGTTGTTACCAACTTGTTTGTCATCCTACACACGATTTCTGTGGAATGTTTATACTTTCCTACCACTTTCTAAAAGTCTAATATGACATATTCTTACCAATTATGTCATTTTATGGCCCTTGATAACATTGGGAATTTCCTAAATTCCTGAGAGTTTTGAATATTTCTTCTGGTCCTTTATAATCTGTTTTTAGTTTTAGGCCATTCATAGGAATTTCTGTTTCTCAAAGTACCTTTCACATATGTGGAAATAATTTATATGGATTAGCAATTGAGCGTTTTCTCTATTTTGATGTAGATTAAAGGACATTGAAATTGTTTTTTCTGTCTCGACTAAGAGCATTGTGTAGATGAACGAGTTTGTGTGACTAGAATGGTTCTCGCTGCTTTCAGTGCCGGGGAGCCGACTGCGCCCATGGAGGAGCCCCCCGTGGTGGAGGAGCCCCCCGACCCCCTGGAGGAGGGGTCTCCGGCCAAGTAGGTATTTCATTCCTTTTTCCATTGGGTTGTTGGTGTTTACTTACATATTTCTTCCAGAAAAGGAAGCTCAGCCTTTTGTCATATCATAGAGGTTGATCTACTTAGTGTATTAATGAATAATTGAACTAATTAATAATTCAAATCTAATGAATTCTTGGTAATGATAATGAATGGGTTAAATTCACGTCTTCTGTCCTGTGTCCACAGCATCTTTTCCATCAGCAGCCTGTACTATGACTCGTCCCTGTCTTTTCATGACCCCCTTCACTTGTCCTTTTTTTCTCTCCTTCCTCTTTTTTTCATGGAGCTGAGGTCCCTGCTCCATCGCTAGCACTCTTGCCAAGTCTTCAAACTCTCTCGCTCCTTGGATTTTCTGTTTTGCCTTGCTGTGCATCCGCCTCCTGGATGACCGTGAGCCATCTGACTTCCCCGGCCTGCGCCCACAGGCTGAGCACTGCCAGTCACCCCTGACCACCAGCATTCCGAAGTGAGCCCTCCGCACCACCCAACAGCGCCCATTTCTTGGGGCCACTCTCTCAATGACTGGTTTAATCCTTCTGGTCTCCTCAGATCTCTGACACTGCCCCCCACTTGCCCATACCTGCTCTTTCATTTTCTAGATACAACCGTGTCTCCTACATCACAGAGAAATTAGGAGCTGTCAGATGGGAGCTTCATCACCTTCCCACGCCGAGGTGCAGACCCGCCCACACCTCCATGTCTTCTAGCCTCCTTCCCTGTGGGGTTCCTCCCGGCTCCTCCCACCTCTTAGGGCTTGGGAGCTGTTTCCTGCTAACTTCACAGAAGCCTCGCCCTGTCAGTTAGCTCCTCCATCTTCAAGTATACTCACCTCTTTCCTCCAGCTCTGGTCTTCTAATCGGCATTTAAACATGCTCAGTTTCTCCTATTTTAAATCTTCTCCTCTTGTCCCACATTCTCAAACAGCCACCTTTTTCCGGTGTGTGCTCTTTCTTCACTTTCTCCCTTTTCACTTTACCCTCCCTTCACTCCAGGTCTGGCTCTGTCCCCACTGCCCTTCCGAAACAGTCCTGCATGTCTCTGGACCTAATGGATATTTTGGTCTGTGTCGTCCTTGACCTCTCAGAGCATCTGACTTCATTGATCTTTGTTGTTGTTGTTAATTCTCACCCAAGGATATTTTTCCATTGATTTTTAGGTAGAGTGGGAGGGAAGGAGGTTGAGAGAGAGAAAGAGAATAGCATCGATGCGAGAGAGACACATCAATTGGTTGCTTCCTGCATGACCCTGACGGGGGCTGGGCATCGAACCTGCAACCCAGGTATGTGCCCTTTACCAGGAATTAAACCCTCAACCCTTCAGTCCGAAGGCTGATGCCCTACCCTCTGAGCCACACTGGCCAGGGCCATTGATCGTCTTCAGGGCACCCTGCCGTTGGTTTCCGTGATTTCTGCACTTCAGCTTCCCTTCTGCCTCTCAGCTCCTTTGCAGACTCATCCTTATCTCTCTGGGCTTTTAAAGTATTTAGTTCTTCTGGGCTCTGCCTTAGGCCTCTTCTCTTTCTCTAGCGTCTCTTTGTAGGAACGCATGCACTGTGCAGCTTGAATTGTCATTGATACACTCACTCTAGAACATGTGCCTTGGGCTCCAAACTTCAGCATGTACTTCAGGCCTGTGCATCCACCTTCCTACTGGACACCTCCCCTTGGACGTCGCAGCTGCTCCTCCTGTGCCGTGTGTCCAGGGCTGAGGTCCACTCTCCTCCGCTCCTCATTAGGTGTTCCATCTTATGGAACAGCATTGCCATCCAACCAAACAGGCATTGGCACAAACCAAAACCTGGGAATCATCCTTGAGACTTCCTTCTTCTTGACTCCCTTCCCCCAAAATCTAGTCTGTTACTCTGCCCTGGTGATCAGTACCTTCTAATATCCACCGCCTTCACTCACCATCAGTCTCCGCTTTTGTCATCTGATCTGCTCACCTTCTAGCAGCCCGTTGCCACACTGAAGTGGCTTTCACACTGGCAATCCGATTGTCATGCCCTCATGCCTTTCATACGACCCCGGTGCCCTCATGTGCCTTTTCTGTTCTTTGTCCTGACCTGCATGGTCCTGTGTGGCCTGGCCCCTGCAGAGTTCCTGTGCTTTCTCTGTTCACCAGGTGGCCCTTACTTTTTGTTTCCCAATACCTTTCTCCTGCCTCTACCCCCACACTTGCCATAGAGCTTTTACAAGTACTGTTTCCTTTTTGTTCAGTATCTCTCCTCCAAACCCTCTTCCGCCCTTCACCTGTTTAATTACTCATCCTTCAGCTGCCAAGAAGCAGGATGTCTGTTGGTTTAAGAATATAGATTCCAATGTCCGGCCAGTGTGGCTCGGTGGACTGAGTGCTGTCCCATGGACTGAGAGGTTCCTGTTCAATTCCTGGTCTGGGTACACGCCCGGGTTGCAGGCTTGATCCCCAGTAGGGGGCGTGCAGGAGGCAGCTAATTGATGTTTCTCACACCTGTGTTTCTCTTCTCTAGAAAATCAATTAAAAAAACAAAACAAAAAAGGTTATAGACTCCAAACCAGTATGCTGGGTTTAGATCCCAGCTCTGCCACTTACTAGTTTGGGCAAGTTATTTAATATGTGTGTCTCAGTTTCCTTCATCTGTAAAATGAGAATAATAGTAGGGCTTCCGTCAGAGGGTTATTATAAGGGTTGGTTGAGGGTTATGTGTATGTGTGTCATGTAGAGTAGGACCTGGTACATAGTGCTGTATAAATATCTGCTGTTTTTATTATCACTTATTGCAAGAGTAAAATGCTACCGTGATTGATGATTTTGAAAGCTGTTAATTTATCATTCAAAACAACTAAGAAATGCATTTAAAGAAGTAGATTAACAGTTAATATGAATATTTAGACACAGAGTTAATTAAGGAAATAGGTTAACATTGTATGTGGATGTTGAGAGAGTGAGTTAAGTAGTTACTTTTAGGAAAAATTGTATCTTTTTTGAGCCAATAAACCATTTCTACAAATTCAGGTAACAAAACAGAATAATAGAGAGTAAATTATAGCATTATTCTAATGTATAGAATTGATCTCAGTACTCTAGCACTGATAATATTAGACAAAGTAATTCTTTCAATTAATTGGTTGCTCTGAAAGACAAAGGAGTGACTTGGCGGCCATGTCGCTGTCTGCAGCGTCCTGGCAGAGCCGCCAGCACACCCACCAGCACACCCTCCTCTCCTGCCGGCGCCTGGCCGGGGAGCCCTGGTGTAGGGCTGCAGGAGCTGCGCCGGCGCAGCTGCGCACACAGGGCAGGCTGTGCTGAGAAAGCCTTGTTTCTGCACTGCCTCATCAAATGTTAAAATTTTTCTAATTGTACAGTTATAATTTTTGGTAATTTCAAAATTAGGCAGGTATGTGTAAGAAAATGGTGATGCTCTCTGATCTTGTCTTTGTCTGAATATTATAACACTCAAGCTTTTGACATTCAGCCAGAATGTCAAAATGTATATTCAGTGTGCTTCTTGGTTTAGAACTTCTTGAAGGGTGAATTTAATGTATCAGTTTTATAATTTTGGGTTTTATACTTAGGTCTCTGATCCATTTTTTAAAGAAAGTAATGCATATTTACTTGATCCCTTTTGAGTTGATTTTTGTATACAGTTTGTGGAGTGGATAGAAGCTCCTTTCTTTGCATATCCAGTCATTCAGCACACTGAGCACCATTGTTGAAAATCAGTTGCCCATGTATGTGTGGGTGTATTTCTGTACTCTCTGTTTTGTTGGTCTGTCTGTATTACACTAATATCACACTATCTTGATTATCCTTAAGTCACTTTTTAAAAAAATCCTCACCTGAGTATATTTTTTCAGTTATTTTCAGACAGAGTGGGAGGGAGAGAAAGAGAGAGAAACATCAGTATAAGAGAGACACATCGATTATTGCCTCCTGCATGACCCCAACCAGGGCTGGGGACCAAACCATAACCAAGGTATGTGCCCTTCACTGGAATTGAACCCTGGACTCTGGTCAGTGGGCCAATGCTCTAACCACTGAGCAAAACCAGCCAGGGCTTCTTAAGTCACTTTTAATCTATGTGTTTTCTCTTTTTTCCCCTTGCAGTTTATTTCTTGAAGAAACTAGGTCATATGTCCAAAGAGTCTCCCAGAGTCAGATTTTTACTGAAGCATCCCTATGGGCAATGGTGTGCTGGTAAATACTTAATATCTGGTTCTCTGGGATTAAAAACTCACATCTATTGCACTTGCTAGTTTCTGTGGTATAAATATTCTTAAATAGCTGATTTAGAACTACCAATATGCCCTGGTCAGTTTTATTCATCCATTTTCAGAATAATGAGTTGGTTTCCTAGCGTCCTTCTAAGGTGCCAGATCTTTTTAAAGTGTCATTATGAACTTAGAGATTTTAACATATTTCCCAGCTCTGTCAGTCAAATGTCTTAGAAACAGTCAAGAACCTAATTGCTGTGAGCACCCCTAGAGCCTAGACTATGGTCTCTAAATACCATGTTCTATGAAAGGACTGTGGCTGTTTGAAAAATGGCTCATTATGAAATATGGGATAGGAAGTATAGATGATGAGTTTTTATTTAAACTGATTCATTTTTTGTGTAGGGGGAGCCTCTTCAAGTTTATTCATGATCACTTTGACACACATTTAGTGGTCTTCAGTAGCTTCCTGCTTTCTGGTAAGACATGTTGTTCTAGACTCATCATCTTTACTTCCTATGCCATATTTCATAATATGTTTAAATTTTTGAGGAACTATCAGACTAATGGCCACACTATTTCATATTCCCACCAGCAATATATGAGGTTCCAGTTTATTCACATCCTTGCCAACACTTTTTAAATATCCTCTGGGTCTAAACACCCAGTGAGTGTGGAGTGGTGAAAGTTGTGGTTTTGATTTTCATTTTGCTGATGGCTAATGACATGAGCATCTTATTGGCTATTTATAGACCTATTTTTGGAAAAATGTCTTTTCAGAGCCTTGCCTGTTTTTTAGTTGGGTCATTTCTTTTTACTGAGTTGTAAGAGTCCTTTATATAGTCTTAGATGCAAGTCCCTTGTCAGATGTATAATTATCAAATAGTTTCTACCATCTATGGGTTGTCGTTTTACTTTCCTGATGGTATTCTTCGCAGCACAAAGGTTTTCAGTTTTGGTGATGTCCAATTTGTTTGCTTTTTCTTTTGTTGCTTGTGGTTTTGGTGTCATATGTAAGAAACCATTGCCAAGTCCAAAGTCATGAAGGTTTATACCTATGTTTTCTAAGTCTTATACTTCTAGCTCTTATATTTATGGTGTGAGGTAGGGTCCAACTTCATTTTTTTGCACGTAGATATCTCATTTTCCCAGCACCATTTCTTTCTTTTTTTGAAAAAAATTTTTATTTACTTTTCTTACAGATGTCCCTCCTTTTTCCCCCATTGATATCCTCCTCCCTGCTCCGCTCCCCTCCCCCCACAGTATCGTTGGTTATGTCCATTGGTTCCATTGGTTATGCATATATGCATGTCAGTGCTTTGGTTCATCTCTTCCTGCCCCCGCCCCCACACACCATTTCTTGAAGAGACTGTTCTCCTTTTGTCTTTAGCATTCTGGTCCAAAAAAGTCAGTTTATCATAAATGTGAGGGTTTATTTCTGGACTTTATTAATCTACATGTTTATCTTCTGTTTGTTTGTTTTTTTCTATCCTTACCCGAGGACATTTTTCCATTTTTTGTTCAGATAGAGCAGGAGGGAGAGAGAGGAAGAGAATGACAGGGAAAAACATCAACATGAAAGGGACACATCAAGCGGCCGCCTCCCACACAATCCAACCAGGGCCGGGGACAAACTGCAACCGAGGTACGTGCCCTCAGCAGGAACCGAACCTGGGTCTCTCTGGACTGCAGGCCGACGCTCTAACTGCTGAGCCAAACTGGCCAGGGCTTTTCTGTTTTCTTTTAAAAACTTGAATTTATTTATTTATTTTTAAAGATTTTTGTTTTTATTTATTTATTTTTTCTTTATTGATTTGAGAGAGTGAGGGAGGGGGAGAGATAGAAACATCGATGGGCCGCCTCCTGCATGCCCCCACTGGGGATCGGGTCCACAACCTGGGCATGTGCCCTGACCGGGAATTAGTTGGCGACCTCTTGGTGCATGGGTCTACGCTCAGCCACTGAGCCACACCAGCTGGGCAAAACTTATGAATTTAAAGATGACATTTACAAAAGTAGGCATTTGTGGCCCATTGTTTTATAATCTATTTTCCTTTATTTGTTTTATGTCAGTAGCTTCTCCCATTTTCTTCTACAGTTACCTCATTTTATGTGTAATGCCATAAAGTACAATGTTAATGTCATTGGGATGGTAATGTTCCTGTTTTTCAAAGACTGCTTTGAACACAGACAGGAAGTATCTTCAGTTGGCAATGTTGGCATAAAATCATGAAAATAAAATAAGGAAGCTTATGGCTCAAAGATTTTCTTACTTAGATTTGAGGTGCAGTACCATGAAAGTATGTTAAACTAATGGTTATGACTTTTTCTTTGAGAAAGGAGAGATTTCAGACCCATCAAAAATTATTCCTTATGATTATACTTTCTAGAGTTCCTGAGTTGGAGGTAGAAGAAGAAACTCAAGTTCAAGAGATGACCCTAGATGAGTGGAAAACGCTTCAAGAACAGACCAGACCGAAGCCTGAATTTAACATCCGGAAACCTGAGTCCACGGTCCCTTCCAGAGCTGTGGTGATACACAAGTCCAGATACAGAGATGACGTAAGCATGATGCTTTGTGTCTGGAGCTAATCTTCACTGGTACCTTACTGGAAACAAAATGGGCCTTTCGCTTCTATTTTGAAAATGTAACATTAGTAGTTGACATTCTAGTTTCTACCTAAGAGTAATCAAGATGATGTGTCTTTATTGTGAAATAATTAAATCTTGACCTCTTGATACTTGATACAAAGCAGTAATGGTGACAGAATTTTCTGCTCACCCAGAATTGTGCTGAGACTGTGCAAATACTGTATGTTAATTGCACTTTAATTTTGTCTCGAGAGAGGTACAGAATGTTTCTGAATGATGCCATTTCAAAGGATGACTACTCTGCACTTACATGATTAAATTACCTTCACCTCTAATTCTTAGGGCATCTAATTGGGAGGGGTTGATCATTTGAAACCGGTCGGGGTGCTGTGCCCTGAGGCACCTTTCTGTCACTGCAGTCTTGCCCGTGTGCCTGACTGCTGACACGCGCATGCGGAGCCCAGGAGCCCGGAGCCTGCTGTCCAGGCGGGTGCTCACAGCGCCTCTCTCCTGAGAGATGGTTTATGTTCAGCTCTGTCAGAGGCCTCAGCTTTGACAATATCTATCAGCGTGTATTGATAAGCATGGTCAGCAAGACTTTGAATTACGTTTCTGTTTAAGTTACTGAATTTAAGGGTATACTGAAGCATTCTGATTTTAAAATTTATAATCTGCATCATTCAGCCACATCGGTTTGTCTTGATATTAGTCTCTATGTCAGTGATAGGGATGAGCAAACCCTTCCATTCTGCTGGATATTATTCATTTATTTTCTGTTTGAAACTCAGGAATTTCACATTATGTAGAATTATCTGTGTTCCCATTTACACTTTGGTTAGTTGTATTCTCTCTTTTTTGTTATATTTTTTATTGATTTTTAGAGAGAGAGGAAGGGAGGGGGAGAGAAAGAGAAACATTGATGAGACAGAAACCTCGACAGGCTGCCTCCTACACACCCCCTACTGGGGATCAAGCCCCAAACCTGACCAGGAATCAAACTGATGACCTTTGGGTGCATGGGACGACACTCAACCACTGAGCCACACCGTTGTATTCTTCAAACAAAGACTTTCATTAAAGGGTCACTTAGGATCCCCTCCCACCCTCCTGAGTGGGTCAGTCCAGGCTCTTAAGGGTCTCACTAGTGAGCTTTGGGCTGCTCCATTACAAGTGACTTTCTCTACACATGGAAATCTCCCAGAGCTTGCCTTTTTCTTTTTTAAACAAGTATATCAAGTAAAGCTGGGTTGGTTCTTTTCCTCTCCACTTTCTTTTCCTTTTTTTATTAATTAATTTATTTTTGTTACAGATGTTTCTCCTTTTTCCCCCCACTGATTCCCCCCTCCCACCCCTCCCTGCCCTTTCCCCAGCTTTGTTGTCCATGTCCATTGTTCATGCACACATGCATATAAGTTCTGTGGTTTATCTCTCCCCCACCACCCCCTCTTCTGGGGATTGTCAGTCTGTACCCCACTTCCACGTCTCTGGGACTTCCTCATACTGTTATGTTCATTATATTCCACAAATAAGTGAGATCATATGATATTTGTCTTTCTCTATTTGGCTTGTTTCGCTTAGGATGACACTTTCCAGGTCCCTCCATGTCGTCTCAAAGGATAGGAGATCTTTCTTTCTTACAGCTGCGTAATACTCCATTGTGTATATGTACCACAGCTTTTTGATCCATTTGTCTACTGATGGACACTTGGGCTGTTTCCAGATCTTAGCTATTGTAAATAGTGCTGCTACAAACATGGGGGTACATATATTCTTTCTGACTGGTGTTTCAGGCTTCTTAGGGTATATTCCTAGAAGTGGGATCACTGGGTCAAATGGAAGTTCAATTTTTAATTTTTTGAGGTAACACCATATTGTTTTCCATAGTGGCTGCACCAGTCTGCATTCCCACCAGCAGTGTATTAGAGTCCCCTTTTCTCCACACCCTTGCCAACACTTGTTGTTTGATGATTTGTTGATGGCGGCCATTCTGACAGGTGTGAGGTGATACCTCATTGTTGTTTTAATTTGCATCTCTCTGATGATTAGTGATGTTGAGCATTTCTTCATATGTCTCTTAGCCATTTGTATGTCCTGTTTGGAGAGGTGTCTATTTAGCTCCTCTGCCCATTTTTTAATCGGGTTCTTTGTCTTCCTTTTGTTGAGTTGTATGAGCACTCTCTATATATTGGAAATTAACCCCTTATCTGATATATCATTGGCAATTGTGCTCTCCCATACAGTGGGGTGCCTTTTCATTTTGATGATTGTATCTTTGTTCTTTTTGTTCTGGGATATTGTGAATAAAGCCTGGCCTGAAGCAAGTGGCTGTCAGGATGGGACACGCACAGCTGACTCGCAGGTGAAATAGAAGCGCTCTCCCTGATCCTCACCAGGTTCGTCCTCCGGCCCATGTGGCTTCTGGAGGGTCTGAAGCAGCTGGTGAGCTGAGTCACGAGCGTGGTCTCAGGAACGCTCACATCTTCAGTCCCTGTACATCTCATGGCCTTGGAGATCTTAGCTACATTGTTCTTAAAGCAACACAAGCCTTTGTTGTGGGCCCCCTAAGAGACAAAGACATTGGAATAATACCTCTCGTTGGCGTGGAGCTCTGCTGTTTGCCAAGTTCAGACCCAGCACTAGCCTGCAGATGGAGCTGGGCCCTCAGAGCATGGCCCTGAGGGACCTTCTCACCGGGCGCTGGCAGCCTGTGGTTTTCCAAACCTGAGGCAGCGGTTTCTTACTTTGCCTGTTACTATTTTTTGGTGTGTATCTTTTTACCAGAGGGGAAGTTCTCCTGAATTGTTTTCCTTCACCTCTTTAGCTTCAAGAGTCCATCTACTTAAGGCCTCTGCTTTATTTTTTTATTTTTTAATCCTCACCCAAAGAAATGTTTTTATTGATTTTTATTGAGAGAGGGAGGGAGAGAGAGAAACATAGATCAGTTGCCTCCCAGACGGAGCCCAACTGAAGATCGAACCAGTAAGCTATGTATGTACTCTGACCAGGAATCGAACCTGTGACCCTTCGGTGCATGGGACAGTGCTCAACCAAGCCACCCAGCCAGGGTGGCCTCTGCTTTATTTTAATATGAGACGTTGACGGGACATGAATGTTACAGGAAATCCGTAGTGAATGTAGACCACAGGGGTTGCTGTGCTCGGGGGCCTGGGGTTTCATTTCCTGGACGCGGTGCGGGAATGTTTAACCCCACGGCTCTTCAGAGAGTCTCATCCCATATCACAGGCATATTTTCTGTCGGTTTATATTTTACTTAAAAGTAAGGATTTTTTAAAAATCCATTAAGAATTGAAGCCAAATTAAAATTGGAGACTCTGATGTTTCTCACATCGATGTTTCTCTCTCTCTCTTCCCCCTCTCCCTCCTGCTCTATCTGAGGATAAATGCAAAAATGTCCTTGGTGAGGATAAAAATAAAATACAATTGGAGACTTATTTAATATAATTTTCTTTTAAGAAGAGACAGGACTTATTTGACCTCTTACAATAAAATGTACTTTCTCAAAGAAATGAATAAAGCAGTTCTTAGAGAGCAGCTGGTGTTCTCTACACGGCATTGGTAGCAGTGCCCAGACACCCACAGTCTGTTGTTCTACCGTTTTTATATACTTTGAGTAAGAACTGTTTATTCTGAATCATGCAGTTTTTAACATGTGGTATTTGTACCGTCAGCGCCTCACATTGAAAGGAACTCCATCAAGTTCTATTCAAGGAAGGGGAATATTTCCTTATTTATCAAAGTATCATTTGCAGACAAACAAAAGGCAGAAATTAAAATGTTTTAATCTTGGCAAAATACACTCAGAGGTAAAACATTTATCTCGGTTGCTGTTAGTCCTGTCGAGTCCTCCATCGTAACCTGTGAGTGACAGACATCTGGTCTCACGTGGAGCAGCAGTAAGCTCAGAGGGGGTCGCCTTAGGACTGAGCAGTGTGGCTGTCCAGCTGCAGGGCCCTCTGCTGACGCCGAGCAGCACCAGCACGGCCACCTCCCCCGCCTGCCGCCCAGGGCCCAGCGACACGCAGCAGGACGCTCTCCGGCCGCCGCGAGCCATCTTGGTGCCCTGGCAGTGCAGGCCGGGACCCCCGAGCCCAGTGCGGGTCCTTGGAGACAGCTGTGTGTGTGCTGCTGTTCCTGTGTTTCAGGTGGTAAAGGATGACTCCGAGGATGATGCCCACGTTTTCCGGAAAGCGGCCAATGACATCACATCCCAGCTGGAGATTAACTTTGGTAACCTCCCTCGTCCCGGGCGTGGAGCCAGAGGTGGCCCGCGGGGAGGCCGGGGAAGGATCAGAAGGGCAGAGAACTGTGGATCCCGAGCAGAAGTGGTAAGTGTCTAAGTCTGGGGCAGTCTTCCGAAGAGCCCGAGGGTGCCCTGGCCTGCAGGTCTCGGTCGTCAGGCTCTGTCCGGACCCCTCCTCTTCTCGTGGGTCTGAACAGTGATGTCAGCATCACGGGCATCGGCGGGGTACAGACCACGCCGCAGGCCTGGCCTCCAGGGTCTCGGAGGCCCACCGCCTGCCCTCCAGGTGTGCTCAGAGAAAAACCCACTCGTCCGCAGCAGACAGGATCCCAGGCTTGGGATCAGATCCTTGCACCTGATGGTTGCTTCCTCTCGATGGCCTGACCGTGTGCCCTGTGACGCTTTCAGGGCAGACAGAAGCCTCTGAATCCGCTTCTCACCTCAGCCCCGCCTCCCACCCCTCAGCCCCGCCTCCCACCCCTCAGCCCCGCCTCCCACCCCTCAGCCCCGCCTCCCACCCCTCAGCCCCGCCTCCCACCCCTCAGCCCCGCCTTCCACCCCTCAGCCCCGCCTCCCACCCCTCAGCCCCGCCTCCCACCCCTCAGCCAGGCTGCTCTGCCTCCAGTTCTGCACAGTTGCCCTCACCGCCCGGGGCCTTGCCTGCTTCCCTAGGCAGCGGCTCCCACCTCGCCTTCTCAGAGAAGGCTTCTTGGATTACATTTCCTTCCAGACCGGTTCAGTCCTTGAACAAGAAATTGTATTTCTTCTCGTTGAAGCATTATCTCCGTTGGTAACTGTGTTCTCAGTGGTACGATTAGTGGTCATGTCCGTGGCAGCAGCAATCATGTGTTGCTTTTATCTGTTTGCTCAGGGCCTACCACAGTGTAAGCATAGCAGGTGCCTCATGTTTTATGAACAAATACATGAATATCTACTTAGTGGGAGTTGGGCACAAGGTCCTGTGTCTTCGGGTGATGAGCAGCAGCACCCTCTGTGGCTGCCCCGTCCCCACACTGCTGGGAGCAGCCCCTGGACGAGTGCCTGCAGGCTGTCACCTCAGCAAGAGCAGACACACCCGTCTCTTCTGGGCACATTTGAAGCCAGATTGGAAAGGGTTCTGTTCTGAGAATAGAAAATGCACATTCTCTCCCTCGCAAGCAGAGCTCAGCCACCCGCAGCACCAGCGTGGAGGGTGGAGGTCGGAGCTAGACCCCTGCCGCCCACCTGTGCTCTCAGCTCAGAACTGGCAGCGGCCCCCCTCTTCATGGTCAGGTCGCACCATCTCATATTCCGTGTTCTCTGTTCATTCACTGAGCCTTACCTCTGGGAGGACCCGATCTAACAGGAAAACCTTCCCTGACCAGTGTACTTGGCCACCAAATTGCTTTGGACACCCCTGCTGTGGGCTCCTTCCCGGGGCGCCTGTTACTGAAGTTACCACACACTGCCCGTCTGTTTCCCTTCCCTGTGGGCTGCTCCAGGCGGGACGGCTGCGCCAGCTCATGGCCAGTCAGCATTCTGCCCTGTGCATTGCACGGAGGCGGCGCAGACACAGGGTCCTTCGGGGAGGACTTGTGCGAGGAAAGGGGAGGGGAGGCACCGCCGGGCACTTCGTCCAGGGGCCAGCGCCTCCCCCAGGACCGGCAGCCCGCTTTCCACCGCCCCTCCCCCCGGAGAGCAGCCCCGGGGCTCCCCGCAGGGCTCAGCGGGTGGGAGTGGTGCAATCACAGCTGCTTCCAACACTTTTCTTTTTTAGACTAAAGACGTTGCTCCAAACCCGGATGACCCTGAAGACTTCCCTGCCCTGGCTTGAGAGAGCCCTGCTTCCCTGGGACTCGCGCCGGCACACTGCAGGGGAGAGTCCACTCTAAGAACAATACATGTTGCTTTATCTCCCGCTAGTGTGACTTCATTCACTTCCTGGCCGGGCGGGCGGGGCGGGGCGGGGCCGGGGGCTGCCCTTGCGTCAGGGTTAGTCTGGCTCTTTCCCACGAAGGTGGAGAATGGGGATTATTTTTTTAATCTAAGCATTTACAAATGAAGCTTAAAAAGAATGTTTAAACGGTGTGCATAGAGATTGTAAATAGAATTTCGAGTCTACTGAGCAAGCTGTGTAGCCGCTGGAAGGCGGTGCCCTTGCGGCCCAGAGGAAATAACTGGATCGCGGAGCGGACAGTCCCACCTGGTGTGCAGAGACCAAGACGTTGGACCCGATCCTGTGTACTACTGTGACTGTTCCTCTGCTGGGGTTTCTGAGATCCGGTTTGCATTTACCGAATCATTGTAAACAGCTATTGTGCAGTCACTGGTCACCACCGGGACAGAATTAGGAGTTTGATTTGGCGATTTAACTACCTCGTGGTTTGTGTGTGCAGTCGCACACCATGTTCAGCCTAAATGTGCATATTGAGTGTTTGGGTGGTTTTAGGATGAGTATTAAGTATATGATTTTAAAAATAATGTTATTTAACCCAGCAATCAAATGCAAAGATGAAAGCGTTGCAACTTAACACCATGTCTGTTTCCCCTTCGAGACAAGTGTCCTCGGCGGCTGCGCACGCCCTCTGCTTGGCCTGGGGCTGGTGACAGCTGGTGGTGTTTCCTCAGTCAGTCCTCGGGTTCCTGTCCTGGGTGATGTTCGGGGTTAGGGCCGCCTCGGGGTCAGTAGCTCCCCAAGTCCCTGGGAGGTTTCCTGCAGCTGGGGCAGAGGCGGCTGGAACCCTGCTGGAAGCGGGGGGGATGTCTCCCCACGGGGCTGAAGAAACACGGGGACGTGTGCCTGTTGTCACGCATCGACATGCATGTGTCAGCTGAAGCCTGGCCCCAGGAGCCGTGCTGTGTCCTGCGTTGCTCTGCTGTCTGGGATGGCTCTGAACTTGAACCAGTGTAAATAAAGGTTGGTCTTCCCTCCTGTGTTAGAAAATTGAATTGTTTGGTCACACTAAGGTCAAGAGAGAATGTGAGAAAAAGCCCCAGTGAAAGTCCTGTTTCATTGAAAACTCAGAGCTGAATTGTACCATGTGACAGGCAGCCAAGCATCTTCACTGTGGGGACAGCATCTTCTGTTCCCTTGTCATTAATACCAAGTATGGAGGTACACTGACTCTTATTCCCTCTCCCCGGAGAAGAAGCCTTGGGAGGCTGTCACATTGAGTCATTTTTCCTTTGCTTTGAAGATGAAAACAGATCCGTTCAAGAAAATCCCCTCTGGAGTGGAACACTCGCAGGGCCCAGCGCTCGGTCAGTGCTGCTTGCAGACACTGCGGTCCCCCCGGCAGTGCAGAGCCCCAAGCCCTGGAGTGGCCTGGGTACCCCCGGCAGTGCAGAGCCCGAGCCCTGGAGCGGCCTGGGTCCCCCCGGCAGTGCAGAGCCCGAGCCCTGGAGCGGCCTGGGTCCCCCCCGGCAGTGCAGAGCCCCGAGCCCTGGAGCGGCCTGGGTCCCCCCGGCAGTGCAGAGCCCGAGCCCTGGAGCGGCCTGGGTCCCCCCGGAGTGCAGAGCCCGAGCCCTGGAGCGGCCTGGGTCCCCCCGGCAGTGCTGGACACGGCTTGCGGGCTGCTAGCTGAGCCTGCACTCTGCGCTACCTGCATGGGGTGAGGCAGAGGCTGCCCCTGCCCAGGAGGACAGTTGGAAGCAAAGGGCGGGAAAGCCCTATCGCGCTATAGGGAAAATGGGGGGGGGGGGGGGCGGGCAGGAGGATTATGTACTGGGACCTGAACTCAAGAAAGGCCTTCCCGATCAGTTCCCTGCCTGGCCCCTCGGAGGGCTGGTGTGCAGAAGTGCCGTCTCGGGCAGGGCATGTTTCGGGCTGGGGACTCTGTACAAGGCAGATGAACCCCACAAAAGAAAACTCGGGTGAGCCTGACAGACTTGGGAGTAGAAGTCAAGCGTGTCTGAATTCCTGGGCAGGTGTGCCTGGCGGTCCCTTCCCAGCCAGGCGGCCACGCTGCACCAGGCCGCAGGGCTGTCCCAGAACCCGCAGCAGGGAGGGCCCCTAGGCAGGGGCCCTGTCAGCTGTCACCCCTGCGTATGTGACGAGGTCTGGGGAGGGGTGGACTCGCTCCAGAAGCTGCTCCGGCTGGGACAGCCTCAGGAAGGCTGAAACACGCACTGGGTGGTCTGAAGGTCCGGCCAGGGCCGCCTCAGCCTGCTGGCGGTCATAAGCACTTCCAGTCTTCATCCCTGCAGGGCAGGCCCCTCGGAGCGAGAAGCCGGCACAGGCACCCCCTGTCTAGTGCTGGCCACTGGTCCGGTCCTCCTTCCTCTCTGTTCCCTGGCTCGTCCAGGCCACCCTTGCGTAGGTGTTTCGGGGCGAAAGCATTGCTTTTCATCTGAAACCCCACCATGTAGTGTCGGCAGGTCCTGGAGCCGCTGGACCTGGTCTGGGTCTCAGAGATGGGAAAGGCCAATGCTCAGGATAAAGCAGGACCTGCCCTCTTGGCCATTCCAGAGAGCTGGTCAGCGCAGCACCACTGGCTGGAGAAGCAGTCTCACCTGCAGGAAGCGTCCCACTGTCCTTGGCTGTCTCCCCTCAGCCACCCCGGGCTGGCCCCCTGCCCCAGACAGCGGCCAGAAGGCTGCCCTCGGGCAGTTGGCACCACTGCCCACAAGGGGCCCAGCGGGGGAGGCTCTGCCTGGCTGTGTCCCAGAGGGGCCTGCCTTTATGTGGTAAAGAGAATGAGGAAGGAAAGAAGCAGGTACTTAAAACAACTCTTTATTGTAAAATATAACACAGATGCAAGTGCAAAACTTTATAACCACCACCTAAGTCGAGAAACCAATGTCCCCAGAAGGCTGCCCACGGTGGTGGTGCCCACCTCTCTCTGAAAGGAGCCCCTGCACCCCTGGGGGCACCCCTGCCCTGTACCTGGAGGCCTTTTCAGCCTGAAGGACCCCCTGCGCCCTCACTGCAGAACCTGGTGACCACGAAACCAGCACTTCTCCCGGGGCTGCTGTGCGCTGTGTTGTAATTGTCTCGTCTCTGCCCAGGACGGTCTCCCTTGCTCCGAGCTAGTGTTTGGGCAGCGAAGGGAGGAGGGGATGAAGCAGGAAGACGATCCCGTCCCCCTGCCCAGAGCTCTCTCCACACTCCTGCCATTTCCAGGTCAGCGACCAGCCCTTGGACACGTGTCCTGCAGGGACCAGCGGAACCACCCTGAGGACGTGCTGTGCGCCACAGCAACCCCGCAGCGCTGGCCGTGGGCCGTGGTAGTCGGAGGGAGTGTGCCCACGCGTGGCGGGATGAGCCGTGCCCTTGGAGAGCGGTCAGGTCTCCTGCACAGGTGGAGATGGCGAGAGGCCACAGAGACAAGATTCGGTTCCCAGTCGCCCGCACGGAGCTCTCCTGACACCTCCCCAAGGCCCTTGTCCTAGGCCACAGTCCCAGGACTCAGGCAGCAGGACTGGCCCAGCCAAACCACCACGGTTTCCGAGCCCATCAGGGCTGTCCTGGGGCAGAGCAGCCCGTGTGGGGAGAGCGCATCGGGCCAGTGGAGCAGAGCCAACCGCCTTCTCAGCACTTTCTTTGCAAAACAGCAGCGACTTCAGAGGGTTTACTTGGGAGCACAGATCGGGAGCTGGGAAGCACCTGTCATGTGAGACACATCTGTCCCCGGGGTGCTTGGAGAGTTCTCAAGACACCGGTCAGAAAACGATTTCCTGAACAGTGCCCTGTCAGAAGCACTGAGGACACCTGCGCAGAGGCGCGCACGGTCCAGCCCCAGGGGACCCCCGCCCTCCCAGGAGTCACTGGCAGCATTAGAACATGGGGGAGGGGGAACCCAGCGTCTGAGGTGACGTCCAAATGCTCAGCAATGCAAAATGGTCAGGACTGGCCTGTGCTGGAGGTGAAGGGAAGAGAGTGGGAATGAGGGACCCCGGGGAGGTTTGCAGTAAGGGGGGAAGGTGGGCAGACGGGAGGAGAAGTGCAGGGCCCCAGGGCCCGGGGAAGGCAGTGGGAACCTCCCCCTGGTCCCATCTCGACCCAGAGGGCTGACAGGCTGCTCAGGGATTCTCACCCAGGTTCCCGAGAAGTCCTGGAGGAGTCTTGGGATGCCTGGCGACTAGACCTCCACGGGCACCCTTCCCGCTGCACCCGCAGGAAGAACACCCGTGGAGTTGGGTGGTTCACAGGCAGTGAGACCACAGAGGCCCGTTTATGACTCTTCACAAATGTTGCATGAACTTTTCTGGGCAGATGGAGGGACTTCCGCCTCCATCTGATAGTCACAGGGCCCCTAACGTAAGGAAGTTCAAGAAACTCTGTCGACCAACTACTGGGGCCCACGGAAAACGTGCGCGGAGACTGCACCTGCAGACCTCGTTCCTGCAGCTGGTGGTGGCAGCCAAGTTGGCACGGATCTCAGAGAGCTGGAGAGAGACAACGCGGGCCGCTGTCGCCTGAACTCGCCTGTGCCCGCAGCGCGCCGCAAGGAGCCGTGCATCCTGGGTGTCGATGACGCAGGCCGGGGCCCGTGCTGGGCCCCGTGGTCTACGCCATGTGTTACTGTCCCCTGTCGTGCCCGGCAGATCTGGAGGCCCTGAAAGTGGCAGACTCTTTGCGAAAATGGAGGAGGATGGGGACTTTGTGGGCTGGGCACTGGACGCGCTGTCTCCAAACCTCATCTCTACCAGCACGCTCGGGCGGTCAAATACAACCTGAACTCTGTCCCATGATACCGCTGTTGGGCTGGAGCAGCATCGGACCAGGGTGTGAAAGTTGCTCAGGTATTTGTGGACACTGTGGGGCTACCAGAGACATACCAGGAACGGCTGAGGTGACAGTCAAGGCCAAGGCACATGCCCTCTACCCTGTGGTCAGCGCCGCCAGCATCCGTGCCAGCCCCTGTGCCAAGGGGCCCGAGACCAGGCCGTGAAGAACTGGCAGCTTGTGGAAGAACTACAGGACCTCGACACTGATT